AACGAGACTATTAAGAAAAAGAAAAGAGTCGTTAGATAGTAGAATATCTAGTAACGATAAAGAAGTTATAGACTTTTTAAAGACTATTAATATAAGTTTATTAGATCTTAATCTCTTTTTCGATAATCTAATAGATATTACTATTAATATAATCGAAGTCTTCGATTATAACTTAAACTATATCTAGAGATATAATATCGCTAGCGAATTACTAGAATAGTATAGTAATTCTTATCTCGTTATAGTTCTTCTTAATATAGACTCTAATATCTTCTACGTCTTAAGAAGAGTCGCTAAATAATTAGATAAGAACTATAAAATTATCTAGAGATTATCTCTTCGAGTACGTCTTATTAATAGTAAAATAACTTTCTCTAATTAAGCTATTATGATAGATTTAATCGTTAATAACTTTCGAGCTCGAACGATACTTTATATCTTAAATTAGAATATATATAATATTATTCTTAAACTTAACTAGCTAAAGAAATATAGCGCTTTCTAGAATTTTAGTTACTTACGTATAATAATACGTAATAGAACTAGAAAATTAACTTTAATATTTCTTCGACTCTTTCGAACTATTAACTATAAAGATATCGAAGAAGTCGAATTAAATCTACTTAGCTTTCGAAAGACTAAGAAGACGATTTTTAAACTATCTATATTCGATTAGACTTTTATTTTATATCTTATATAAGAATAGAGTTCTAGTAATAAAGTAATCTCTTTAATATCTAGAATTAAAAATAGATATTTTAGGCGTATTCTTAAAAGATTTAAAATAGTATTTTAAGAAGAACTATCTACTAAGTTTCTAACGAAGCGAAATATTAAGTACGAAATCGATATAGATAATATTAAATTTATTAACTTACTCTACTACTTTTTATCGAAAGAATATCGAGATAAATAAGATCGATAAATTCGTATTTTATTAGAATAGAGTCTAATTCGGCTCTTAAGAAGTCTATAGAGTTTCTCTATACTCTTTATATCTAAATCTAAAGATAAATAGCGAATATATATTAACTATCGTCTTCTTAATAATATTACCGTTAAGAATATCTACTCTTTATTCCGAATCTAGAACTATCTTAATATTATCGAAGCTACTTAATAGCTCTCGAAGGCCGATTTTATTTAAGAATACTACTAGATTTAGATAGAAAAGATATCTATCGAAAAAATTATCTTTAATATATAATTTAATAAGTATAAGTTCTTAGCTATACTATTTAGACTTACTAACGTCTCTTTAACGTTTTAGAAAATTATAAATAATACTCTATAAGAATTTATTAGTAAGTTCGTAATTATCTACTTAAACGATATTATTATCTACTCGTAGATCGAAAAAGAATACGAACGCTATCTTAAATAGATATTTAAGATACTATATAACTATAAACTATATACGAAGTTATTAAAGTATATTATTAGTATCTAATAGTTTAAGTTCTATAAATATATAGTAGATAACGAAGAGTATTAATCTATATCTATAAAGATATAAGCTATTCTTAAATAGTCTTAGTCTCGAAATATAT